TTCTCTTGTGGTTACCAAAACTCTGTTAAAGGACTCTTCACAGTCCTTAAATTTGTATGGTTCTTTCCCAATATGAATTTTTTTGATATTAACTAGGCATTTAGACTTAATTAAAGATGTGTCTGCTGTGCTGCATTTACGGGGTTTTAGGCTACTGAAAATATTGATGCTGATTAAGGTGCAAATCATGACTGAAGACTTTTCTCTTTTCTTCTGCATATAGTAGAGTGAGGTGAGGGTCAAGGCTAAAGCCCCACAATAACATTGCATTCCTAACTTTGCCGTCCTGCTGCGAATTCTGATGTTCATTAAAGTGTAACCTGTGTCAAAAGGCATTCTGAGATTCATTTTAATGGCATTTTAATAAACTCACAGTTGGTTAAAAAAAAAAGAGAGAGAGAGAGAATTATCCATCCCAAAATGCCATACGGCTGAGGCGGAGAAACCCTGAGCTCATGGTAGATATATAGATGATTATGGTGCTGGTGCTAGTCTTTCAGCCCTCCAAAATAGTTTAAAACTTTTGCTAAGGTAAGTTGGAAATGAAAACTAAAATATGAGAACAAAAGAATATCTATCTTCTAACTAGGAAATAATAAATTATTACTGGCAGTGGTCAGAGATTTTGATTGTGACTGGGGACTCACTTGAAAACCAAGACTTTTAGGTGGATGGCTGGAAACCATTCCTCACCCTTCTGATGGTCAATCAGTCAAAAATAGAATGCTCTTTTTATTCAGTATTTGAATTTTGTGGACTGTGAGGTTGGCTCAGTCAGCAAGTGGAACCCAAAGGGAGAATTCCAAAGATTCATTCCTAGGAGCCTCCATTAAGGAAAGTGAAATAGTTTGGGCAATTGGCATCTTTTCAGTTTTCCTAGTAGGAGTGGCATGAAACAAGGTTGGCCAGACATGGTCGCTCATGCCTGTAATCCCAGCACTATGGGAGACCAAAGCAGGAGGATCATGTCAGCTGAGTTCAAGACCAGCCTGGGCAGCATAGTGAGATCCCCATCTCCATTTAAAAAAAAAGAAGAAGAAGAAAGAAACCAAGCTGTATGTTTTTTATCTTTACTTTTTATATCACTTTACAGTTTAGATTTACTTTTACTTTTACTTTCTCTTTTGATTCTCATAGGCAGTATTATTGTTCCATTTTATAAATGAGTTCATAGTTTGATAAGAATGACATATCCAGCTGCTCTCTGGATTTCAAATGTTATGCACTGGACTCCACAAAAATAGTTACGTGAAATAAAGGTGACACGTAGCAACTGTTTTCAACAAATGTGGTGATTACATATGTATCATATGTGTGTATGTATGCGTGTATCTATTTTTTGTCTATCATCCATCTATCTATCTGAATGTTTTATATGCTTCTATTGTCTCATTTCCTCCTGGCAATACTATTTGGTTATTTCATCTACTTTTTAATTGTTTGTTGTGATTTGTTTTTGATTAGCCTTCTATAATCTAGTCAGATGAATTAGAAAACATTTTGGTGGAAACAATCCTTGCAATATAAGGATTAAAAATAGTGAAAATTTGTGATATGATTAAATGAAATGGAATTAGGGAAAAAGGCAGTTTTAATGGTGAAAACTCTGCACTGTAAAAAGATAATTCCTGTTAATCACATGAATTATCAATTTTTTTTAAATTCAGAAAACAGCAAATCTAAAGCTTCTTTAAACATTTCCCAGGAATAATGCACATAGGACTTCTGTGAGGGTAGTCAGAGCGCTAAAGTAAACTAAAAAGAGAGTCCTTAACCAGCTCCCTCCATAGCCGTATCTAATCCAGTTTAATAAACTGTAAAGATCTCAAGGTTTGGTAGAGATCAGAGTTCAAATTCAGCAAACACTAGAAGCAGCAACTGGAGAGACTTATACCACTGGCCAAAACCAGCAGAGAGTTACATTGGAGCATTTTAAGCACTTTTTCTTCCCTTCCTGAATAATGTCTGGCATTGTAGAAGATCATTGATGGTCATCAATTTTTCCTTACATAGATTATGCATATATGAGCTTGTGAAAACCTGGGCTTCACAGAGGGTCTGTCTATTTAAATCCAGAGTCCATTTGTTTTTCTTAAAAAGGATTACTGCCCTACTTGGAATCATAAACCTTTGAGGCTGGGATGGAGTTTGTAGATCACCCAGGTAAAGACTATTTGAATAAGTTGCCCTGTGTCACTTGGCCAGTTGGGACGCAGGTTTCCTGACTTGCTTTCACATGTCCTCATGATGATTCTAAGGAAGTAAAGAGCCTAAAACAAGAATAAAAATAAATTATTTAATTGCACGCAGGGGAAATGTTTATAATATACTGCTGTGTGAAGAAAGCACATACCATGGTATAAACATGGGATTCCATTTAGTAGGGGAAGGATGGAAAGAATGTATGTATGTTAGGTATAAAAAAGGCCAGGGAGATGTCAGCAGGTCTATTAGCTCTAGTGAGGCAATTGGCAGGAAGTGCTCCTTTCTTCCTTGAGTTTTTATATATTTTCAAGATTTGTAAATGGATATATACAACTTTGATAATTAGAAAGAAAATTAATATTATAAGCAAGAGATTAAAAGCATCCTAAGAAGGTCAAATGGGCACTTTTCAGGAATACAAAGATGAGTAGCTTTAGAATCCTTATTTTCCAGAGACTGGAGAGCAGAGGACTGTTATCTGTAGAAGACAGGTATTTGACCAGAGCTGTGCTGCAGGATGCAGGCAGACGGACAAGTTGACACCGAAGAGCCAATGCACAGGCCACAAGAAAAACATCCACAGTGAAGCTGCAGTGACAGCCTCTCCTTACTGGGCAAAGTCAGCTTACCTCCCACTCCCATCGGTCCTACCGCCAGAACCATTGCGGAATCCTGAACTATGAACCTCCGTGTTCACTTCTCTAGAGGTGCGGAACATTCCTCTGAAACTGAGGCTTTCTGAAGGAAGCTAATTTTGTTGTTTTGTTTTGTTTTTTGTTTTTTTGAAATGGAGTTTTGCTCTTGTTTCCCAGGCTGGAGTGCAATGGCATGATCTTGGCACACTGCAACCTCCGCCTCTTGGGCTCGAGGGATTCTCCTGCCTCAGCCTTCCAAATGGCTGGGATTACAGGCATGCGCCACCATGCCCGGCAAATTTTGTATTTTTCTTTTAGTAGTGACGGCGTTTCTCCATGTTAGTCAGGCTGGTCTCGAACTCCTGACTTCAGGTGATCCGCCTGCCTCGGCCTCCCAAAGTGCTGGGATTACAGGTGTGAGCCAGCATGAAATTTTTCATTGCTACTTCATTCTTTCTGCCCGATTTGACTTAATAGCTAATACTCAGATCTAGCAAATAACAAGAAAAAGCAATAAAAATAATAAGTAGCTTGGTGAGCAGGTGGACTGAATACCTACCTTCAGTTATAGAACTTCTCCTATTTACCTTCCAGGTTCTAATTTATGTGCTGTATTATTCCTAATACTTGGCATTGTTGCTCATATTTACATCACCTCTAACCTCAGCAGGAGGCATTATTACTCCATTTCAGAGGTGTTAAACGTAGCCTGAGAGAGGTTGAGTTACTCAACAAAGCAGGCATAGAACCCAGACCTGTTTGATTCTAAGCCCATGCCCCTTTGAATGTCATGGCCTTTTACTCTGTGCCATGAGATGGCTCAATACTTGCTTAGTGGGCCCAGTAGAGTGCTGCTGAAGGAGAAATAAGAGCACTGGATTAGGAGTGTGTGTCTGGATGCACCATTGATGTAGAATCCGTGCATGGACAGCTATTTACACGATCCCCAAATGGCCCGTGGCTGAATCATCTCCATCTTTATGCTGTTTGCCAACGCAACAGGCATTCTTTGCCACGGTTGTTTTTGTTTGTTCATTTCTCTGATATGTTGACCCTACTCAATGTAGGGAAATATAAAATGTCCTGATTAAATTAGATGAGATGGAACTCAGGTCTGTTTGGGAGACAGGTTTACATGGAGGATAAACAGTAGGGTAAGTGTCTGGAAACTGAACTCAAAATGGCAGCGCCCTGGTTGTCAAACCTCATTTCCTTTTCTCATTTCCTCTTCATCTCACATCCCCGTATCATAAATGCTCATCTTTCCTCCGTGAACTGACTGATGTCAGTCACATAGAGAACTTCAAACTCCCTCAGAGTTCTTTTAAAGAGAATCAACCCTAATGCGGTTTCTGTCTAGTTAAGTGCGACAGTTTTGTGTAAGTAAACAACCCGACTTTGACACCCGGAAGTTTCTGGTAGGGCTGGGGGTTGTGGTTGGAGGGGAGGAGAAGCAGGCGTGAGGGAAATTTTAAGTAGGAGACTTCTTTTCAGAAAAGAAAATGAAGTCTTTGCTGAAGTTCTCTGTGTCATCGGTGTGTTACAGGCCCTCCACACCAACCGTAGGTTGCACTCTGCCCTCTGCACTTGGCCCTGGGCTACAGTCCTACCCAAGGGAAGTCGTAACAATTCATTGCCCTATTTCCTGCAAGAAGGTCAAGGCTAGGGCTCACGAAGCCAAGCAAAAGAAATTTTTCTCAAATGGCCAGAAAGTCACCTTCTTCAGCTTCTTCAGCTCCTTCACCTTCACCCTTTTCTCTTCAGGGAAAGCTGCCCTTCTCCTGAGGACTGGTACGTTATCTTATGAATACCAGGAATTGGGTAGCTGATTTTCCATTTTTGTGTTTGGGGCAAGGAAGCTCACATACAAATTTGGGGTTCACTTCTAGTAGAGTGTGCTGGCCTTCAGGGTATAGTATGGAACACTAATCTTCCCTGTTTTTCACCTGATTCCTCCTACAATGTCTTTTACTTTCCATAGGCCTCTTAAGTTGATGGATTTTTTTTAATCCTACATTGCTTATGTCTTTGCAAGCTGTCTTAAATTATTCCAGAACAAGCAGTAAGAATTCCATATATTTGTCAAGCGGCATACTTAGGTGTCCGCCCAACCTACAATAACACTCTTCTCCCTGTATTTCTTTTTTTGTAGGAACTGCCTTAGCTGTCACAGGAATGAGACCCCAAGTCAACCAGTTTGCACTATGGGATCCTGCCTGCTGGGCCAACTTGACTGGGATTAAGGTAGATACCTTGCCCAATGCTAGTCACACAAATTCTCTCCTCCAGGAATTTGAAATTGGGAGTGGCAAATGCTATAGTCTGCTAGGCTGGGTACTTGACCGTGTAAATACCTGCAGCATTGATTTTTTTTTTTTTTGAGATGGAGTTTCACTCTTGTTGCCCAGGCTGGAGTGCAATGGCCCGATTTTGGCTCACTGCAACCTCTGCCTCCTGGGTTCTAGTGATTCTCCTGCCTCAGCCTCCCAAGTAGCTGGGATTACAGGCATGCGCCACTATGCCTGGCTAATTTTGTATTTTTAGCACAGTCAGGGTTTCTCCATGTTGACCAGGCTGGTCTCGAACTCCCGACCTCAGGTGATCTGCCCACATCAGCTTCCCAAAGTGCTGGGATTACAGGTGTGAGCCACTGCACCCCACCTCTGCAACATTGATTCTTAACCCTGGCTGCCCCATAGAATCACCAGGGACACTGAAAAAATACTGGTTCGTCTCTGCTTACTAAGGAATTTGAAAAAAAAAAAAAAAAAATATATATATATATATATATATATATATATATATATACAGTATGTGACCCATTAATTCTTCTCCCAAATAGATCTACTGATTGGATTTATTTAGCATTATTCCTCTAAAAAGTTGGTGACTGGAGAATATGAAATCTAACCCTTAAATTTTTCTATCTCTCATTGAAAATGGTTGCATAGAAAGTGTGAGAAGCCAAAGTACTTTCTGTTCAGTCCCAACATCTGCATCTGGAGAGAAAGAATGTTGACTGAATTGAGGGTCTCTCACTACCATTGGACTTTATTTCTGATACCATTATTGGTATTTCTGATTGCCATTGGACTTTACTAGGTTTCATTCTTCAAAATAGGCTTGTTTATTTAACATACATTGGTGTTCCCTCGGGGTGTGTGTGTGTGTGTGTGTCTAGTATATTTCTAATTTTTTGTAAGGACATATTGCCCAGGCTTGTTCTTGACCTCCTGGCCTCAAGTGATCCTCCTGCCTCAGCCTTCCAAACTCTTGGGATCACAGGCATAAGTCACCACACACTGGGTCAACATACATTTCTTTTTATTTTTTTATTTTCGTTTTTTTTGGGACAGAGTGTTGCTGTCACCCAGGCTGTAATGCAGTGGTACTGTCTCGCACTGCAACCTTTGCCTGCTGGGTTCAAGTGATTCTCCTGCCTCAGCTTCCTAAGTAGCTAGGACTATAAATGCATGCCACCACACCTGCCTAATTTTTGTATTTTTGGTAAAGTTTCACCATGTTTGCCAGACTGGTCTCAAACTCCTGGCCTCAAGTGATGCATCCATCTCAGCTTCCCAAAGTGCTGGGATTACAGGCATGAGCCACCATGCCCAGCCAACACACATCTCTTTAATACACCCTGTGTTTAAGGCCCTTTTCCGGTGCTGCAGTGAGGGGGGAAGGAAGAAAGTAGATATCTGGAAAGACCTGACCCTGGGGAGACAGGCAACAAGCGACATGGCAGAGAGGAGTTAATGGTCATATTCTTAGGATACAGCAGTAGGGAAGGCACCAGAAGCTGGTTCAAGCAGAACTAGCAGGTTCTGCTTATCTTGTTTTATGTCAGGTAATTTATTATTTTTTCCATCTGTGGAAGTAATCATGGGTTGACTAAAGTGGCATTCAAATTATGCCCATGAAGAGGCTAGATGCAACCAGCCTGCAACAGTCTCATTTAAAGCTAGATAAAGCCTATCAGACATTCCTCATATTACAATTCCCATTTGAATTCCTCACTCAGCACCAATTTTCTCAGTTGGCCTTTCTTGCCCTATCTTTTTATTGTTTGTCTACCTTTGAAAATAACAAAGAAATGGAGTGGGAAATGGAAAATTACTCTGCTGGAAAAACTCACCTTCTGAAATGTGAGTTTTCAATGCGTTTAGGAATATACTATAGAATTTCTGAGTGTATCCAGATATCCCCTCAAGCTAGTGTTAACTGACAGAGTTCCAGGTTGCAGAGAAAAACACATAACAATAATACTTAATATTTACTAAGTACTTACATGCCAGGCAATTCTGCTAAAAGGCTAGATGCAATATCTTACTTAATAATCAGAATAATCTTTGAGTAATTCCATCTTCTCTGTGTTACAGAAGAGAGAACTGAGGCTTAGAGAGGTAAAGGAATGTGCCCAAGGCCAGGCAGGTCACTAGTAGTGGACACTGGATCAGCACCTAGGTCTGACCACGAGAATTTGAGAACATTGTTTTTGATAGCTGCTGTATGATTCACCCTTCATGTAATGCCTGGCATTGAGAGGCACTCAATAAATACTTGTTGAATGAGTGAATAAGTGAATGACTATCCGGTTCCAGAAGCAAATCTCTAGCAGGTGGGTAGACTCACATGGTTAATGGATAAAGCCCCTACACCATGGATTCTGGACTTGAGCAGGGAGGTGTCCTCTTTCAGAAATGAGTGGTGGCACAGAAATAGTATCTTGTGACCCAGAAGAGCTAGGTTCTTATCTTGACTCTTTAGCTGTGTGACCTTGGGCCCATCATCCTCATGCCTTTCTGATCTTCAGTCATTTCTGCGAGATGAAGGTCCTCAGAGTACCTCTGCATTCTCTTCCAACTCCAACAGCCTGTCAGTCACAAGAATTTTACACTTCAGAAATTGATCTTCTGGACAAACCACTCCAAGGACAAACCCCAAATAGTTTGGAGCTGTCGGAAGAGATTCATTCCCACCCCAAATGTGGTACCACCTTCTCTGTCTCCCCAGACTCCCTCCTGGGATGCTGCATTTAATGTGTTTTTCTTTTACTTTTTTTTTTTCCACTTTTCAACTTTTAATTTTGAAATAATTTTTTACTTACACCAAAAGAAAACATTTCTAAGTACCCTTCTCATAGTTTCCCCAAATGTTAGCATTTTTCATGCCACAGTGAAATGATCACAATCAGAAAGCTAACATTGATAAAATACTATTATCTGACCTACAGTCCTCAAGTTCACCAGTTGGCCCACTAATGTACTTTTTTCTGGTCCAAGATCCAGCCCAGATTTACATGTTGAATTCAGTTTGTCTTATTTTGTTTGTTTTCCTTGATTTGCAACAGGGTCTCAGTCTGTCTTTGTCTTTCATGCCCTTGATGCATTTGAAGAGTACTGCCAAGGTATTTTTTAGAACGTCCCTCAATTTGGGTTGATCTGGTGGTGACTGAGTTCAGGTTATGCACTTTTAGTAAGAATGCCACAGAATTGATTTGCTTCCTTATTTTTCCTGGTGTCAATTTGTAATATTACCCATGATGCTTTTTGATTACTGTCAATTTTATCATATTCTAGATGTTTTATCTAAAAATAGAGTAATAAAAATACTTGCCTTACAAAGTTGTTGTAAAGATTAAGTGGGAAAAAATGCTATGTAAAACACAATTTCTGGGATACAGGACTTACCATTGTCACTTTTTTTTAAAGTATATCAAATAATTAGGAAATTATTTAAGTAAAAAATGGGAATTTCTGATGGAGCTGGATTTGGGGCATTTGCAGATGCACATTTTGCCTTTGCATTCACTGCTGCAGCAGTCAGAGAATTCCAGCAGGCCCAGAAAGATCATAGCTCTCAATGTTTTTCTGTAAGGGCAGCAAATGTAACTAAAGTGTCATTTGAATGTTTGGCTATTGTAAGTTCAGTGGCAGGGGACATGTCTATTCAACCCTGGATCTGGCCTACAAGATGTCAGGTAACCTTTTCAAGGGCATGAGGTTTTAATAGTCTTTGAAGTCAAGTTACTAGATATTATGTTTTTGCCTGGGTGAAACATGTAATTAATATATAATCTGGGTTTTACAGGTGACATCTCCACAGAGTGTTTATTTAACTGCAGACTGATTGACATGTAGGTATTCTGTAATATTTTTCTATTAGTCTGTGAATAGGCAGTCCAATGAATTATTTATTGGGCTAACACATCCTGGTGCATTTTTTTTAAAAGAACATTCTGTGTTGGAAGTCGTGGTTTTGCTTAGTCAATTAACCTTCTCCTGCCCAGATCTTTTCTCTTGAGGAGCAAACCACCAAAATCCAAAGTAGCATTTTGGTATGCAGAGGAAGGGATCAAGCTTGCTCAAGAGCTTAGTACACACTTCAGTTGTAGTTTCCCCACCCAAAGTTGCATGTAGAACCTATTTTATTTTATTTTGTTTTTTGAGATGGAGTCTTACTCTGTCTCCTAGGCTGGAGTTCAGTGGTGCGATCTCAGCTCACTGCAACCTCCACTGACCAGGTTCAAGCAATTCTCCTATCTCAGCCTCCCGAGTAGCTGGGAGTACAGGATTGCGCCACCACGCCCAGCTAATTTTTGTATTTTAGTAGAGACGGGGTCTCACCATGTTGGTCAGGCTGGTCTTGAACTCCTCACCTCAGGTGATCCACCCCCTCAACCTCCCAAAGTGCTGAGATTACAGGCGTGAGCCACTGCACCTGGCCTAGAACCTTCTTTTCTAATTGATTATAGGGCATGAGATGCACAAACACCCATTCCCTATGCTTTTCTAGAAATTAGTACAGCTGTGGCAGAGAAGTAAACAGAGAAAACATTCCCCTCAGTCTGCCAGATTCCAGCCTCATTTCTCTGAAGATAGCCACCATTTGAAGAGTACTGCCAAGGTACTTTGTAGAACGTCCCTCAATTTGGGCTGGTGCTGGGGATGGCAGTGACAGCAAGAACTGTTGAATCAGAAAGTGTTTTTCTATTTTCCCTTTACCCTCCATGCTCTCTGTAGTGCCTTTTGCTTTTCCATTTTTTTCTCTTCCCCATATGCTAACGTGGTAGTTCAGGTCAGGCACGGTCATGGCTTGACTAGGGTGGCTGGGGAGAAGGCAACGAGCAGTAGGGGTTAGATTGAGAGGTGTATTTTGAACTTACTGTTGACAGAACAGTTGTGAGTAAAAGAGATAAGTCAATGATAATTCCAGAGTTGCTTTTGCTTTTGCTTTTGTTTTTTGAGTTGGAGCTTCACTCTCGCCCAGACTGGAGTTCCGTGGTGCAATCTTGACTCATTGCAACCTCTGCCTCCCAGGTTTAAGCAGTTCTTGTGCCTCAGCCTCCCAAGTGGCTGGGATTACAGGCATGCACCACCATGCTCAGCTAATTTTTGTAATTTTAGTAGAGATGAGGTTTTTTTGGCCAGGCTGGTCTTGAACTCCTGGCCTCAAGTGATTCGGCCTCCCAAAGTGCTGGGATTACACTTGGAGCCACGATGCCTGGCCTAGGTAGCTGTTGTTGTTGTTTTTCCTGAGCAACTAAACGGGTGCTGGTGCCATTTGCTGAGGCAGGGAACCCAGAGAGAGAAGCAAATTTGGTAAGAAGGGCTCAAGAGTTTGGTTTGGGGCCTGTTATGTTTGAAATGCTTATTAGAGAACCATGATTACATGTCATATAAGCAGTTTGGATATATAAGCCTGGAATTTAGAAGCTTAAAACAAAAATGCTTTATTGCTTTTATTATTTATTTATTTATTTATTTATTCTTGAGACGGGGTCTCACTTCATCTCCCAGTCGTGGCTCACTTTATCGTCCAGCGGCACAATCTTGGCTCACTGCAATATCCACCTCCCAGGCTCAAGCCATCCTCCCACCTCAGTCTCCTGAGTAGCTGGGACTACAGGCACATACCACCACACCCAGCTAATTTTTGGAATGTTTTTAGAGATGGGGCTCACCATGTTGCCCAGGCTGGTCTCAAACTTCTGGCCTTAAGCAATCTGCCCACTTTGGTTTCCCAAAGTGTTGAGATTACAGGCGTGATCCACCTTACCTGGCCTAATGATTGATTACTTTAAAATTATTCTGTGGGTTGGGATTTAGCCGGGTGGTTCTGCTGGCTTTGCTTGGGTCTCTTATTCAACAATAATCAGCTGAGAGTTTGGCCAGGGCGAGCCTCTCTCCAGGGGACCTCTCATGATTTAATACCTTAGCCTTAGCTTTTTACATGGCAACAACTAGATCTTGGGAAGCAAAATTCAATGTTCAAGCCTCTTGTACTTACAAGAATAAGAATATGAATATTCTTATTCAGCCCCTACCTGTATCATGCTTGCTAATGTTCTATGGGACAAAGCAAATCAGACAGCCAGGCTCAGGGTCAGCGTGGGAGAGGGCTAATACTGGGATAATTAGGGACCACCATTAATTGGGTCTACCACAGCTGACTTGATAAGGTTTTTGTGAAGATTAAGTAAGGTAACGTATGTAAATTGACTGCTACATGATAGATTTTCAATAAATATTAGCTATAATATTAAGACACATCCTCAAAATAAATTCTCAGGACCTATAGATATTAGTCTTATTTTATTAATATATGTATAGGAGAAGAAAATGAACATGCTTGTTTCTTTTTTCTTTTCTTTTTTTGAGACAGAGTCTCACACTGTCACCTGCGTTGGAGTGCAGTGGCGCAATCTTGGCTCACTGCAACCTCCGCCTCCCAGGTTCAAGCGATTCTCCTGCCTCAGCCTTCCAAGTACTTGGGATTACAGGCACCTGCCACCAGTCCCAGCTAATTTTTTTTGTATTTTTAGTTAAAGACGGGGTTTCACCATGTTGGCTAGGCTGGTCTTGAACTCCTGACCTCATGATTCACCCACTTCGGCCTCCCAAAGTGCTGGGATTACAGGCGTGAGCCACCATGCCTGGCCTTTTTGTTTCTTTATTATATTTTCCAGCAGAAGTAGAGCTACAGTTCCTTTTCCTTTGCATTCAATTGTACTGCCTAATAGATGTTCTATAATTACATAAAAATTGGCAAATAAGTAATCTAATAGTCTTTGAAAAGTAAAAATTCCTTTTTAATGTTCTCATTAAAATGGCTTTGTAACCAGAGTTTAAAATTTGAACACAGATTTTTTCCAATACTTCTCCCAAGTGTAAAATTTGTATTTGCAGATTTTAAAATTTCTTTCCTAAGTCTATTACTTATTTCTAACTGTAATTCTGCTACAGTTTCTTTGCTATTTAATTTTCTTCTATATAAGTCACATCAAGGCTGCTATAAATATTTCAGTAGTAAAGGAACAAATCACTCATACTTTTAGCCATAGCTCCTTACCTGCAAAAAAAAAAAAAAAAAAAAACAGCACGAAGTGGTGCGTTGTTTAGACAGACATGAGGATGTAGAGATGATGTGCATGTGTGCTTATGCCATGCTGGGCACCAGAACCTTGACTGGAAAGGTCACGTAAAGAAACTACTGGCCAAGATATCTTTCTGTCTCTATATAGCAATACCCACAGGAGTTCTGAAACTTGGGACTTTTCAAAGGAGAATGATCGTACTTTACTGCTGATATGTATGTATGTGTATATATACAAACAACATTTTATGTATACCAACAAAGAATATTATGTAGGAGAGGTTCTGTTGTTATGTTTTAAGGTGAGATTGCTTAGCCATTTTGTATTTTTCTCCTTGCATTGTACAAGTTCTGTAGATTCTGTTTGGATTCTGGCCCCAAATTGTAAGCCTACTTGTTCTGAGAAGTCATTTCTTTGGCGTCCTTAATCCCTATGCTAGAATATTTCTGGTCTGTCTGTAAATATTATGGTTGGTGAAATGTTATCTCCTTGTTGAGCCTGTTTCCCTGCCATTGTGTTTCTACCTGACCTGCATCCTGTATGCGCTTCTGCCTGTGTGTGGCCTTAGGAAAGATAATTTTGTTTCTTTCCTTTGAAAAGAAGAGTAACTTCTTTGGGATCCAAACACAAAATGCTCCATTCATTGGCAGAAACTGGATTGTCTTAACGTGTCTTTTGTAACACTTCTAAACACCTTTTCTCATCACAGTAGTGCCAGGTTGCACCTGTTCAATCACAGTTCCCCTAGTGTTGTCTGGATAACAGCAGTAGAGGGACACAAAGCAAAACAGGAGCAGATCAACTTAGAGTCTCAGACTTGACTTTTCCCTCTCTTTCTGAATTTTTGGTGCCATTTTCACAAAACTCATTATTTACTTTGTTCCTGTGAGTCATATAATTTCCTTTCTTCACTTCACTTGTAGAAATGCATTACAACATTATTTTCTTTTTTAAAAAAATAGGGAACCCTTCACTGATTTGCGAGTCATCCTTGCACAGGGGCCATGCTAATCTTCTCTGTGTCATTCCAGTTTTAGTATATGTGCTGCTGATGCGAGCACTATATATTTTTTTATTTACTTGATTTTTGGGTTTTTTGTTTGTTGGTTGGTTGGTAAGACAGAGTTTCACTCTTGTTGTCTAGGCTGGAGTGCAATGGCACAATCTCAGCTCACCGCAACCTGGGTGAGCCTGCTGGGTTCGAGCATTTCTCCTACCTCAGCCTTCTGAGTAACTGAGATTACAGGCATTTGCCACCACACCAAGCTAAGTTTGCACTTTTGGTAGAAACAGGGTTTCTCCACGTAGGTCAGTCTGGTCTCAAACTCCCAACCTCAGGTGATCCACCTGCCTCAGCCTCCCAAAGTGCTGGCATTACAGGCATGAGCCACCGCACCCAGCTACAATATTATTTCTAAATGGAAAAATAATTGGTCATGAAGACATATGTTTTCCCTTTCTCTCAGAATCACGCAGTCCTAGTATCAATTTACTCATTTTCCTAAAGTGATAGGACGTTGATCAATTTTTCACCATATTGTTATACAAAAATACATGAAACCATATCAGTCAGCATAATCTCAATTATGCTGCAGTGACAAGCAGCTCTGAATTTCAGTGATGCAATAAGGTTTATTTTTTACTCTTGTCACCTCCCACTGTAGGTTGACTGGGGAACCAAGGTCATTGAGGTCTCTTATGGCCCCAGGCTGGCAGAAGCTCCATCTCAATCCACACTTTCATCATCATACAGGTAGGAAATAGGGAAACGTGGAAAATTGTGCCCCGGCTTTTAAAGTTTTGGGCCAGAAGTGACACGTCACTTTATTCATATTTCATTGGCCAAAGCAAGTCCCATGGCCAAGCATAATTTCAAAAAAAGAGAAGAGTCTAAACCTGTTATGTTTCCAAAGGGAAATGAACTGGAATATGTGTAAACTCAATGACTATGGTAGTACCTTAGAAAGAATCAATCTCACCAGAAATACAAGTAATTTAAAATAGTTTAAAAAAGAAATAAATAAAACAGTGCTGCCAAGCAACAGTGCTACGGTCACTCTCTTATACTGATTATGAAACATTTCTGAAAAGCAATGTAAAAACATGTATTTATCAAGGGCCTCAAAAATCATCCATAAACTTTGGACTTTATTTACACTTTCAGAATTTAGCTCTATAAGAATAAAAATTGTAAATATCTAAATGTCTAAGAAAGGGGGAATTGGTAAATCTACTACTGTAGTACACATAACGTAATATTATATAGCCACCAAATATCATAGTTTTGAAGAGCTTAAAATGGTAAAATGCTCTGGATGTAACATCAGGTGAAAACTATCAGGGTATAATAGTGTTTTCAATATTAACTCATTAAAGAACCCTAGTAGTAGTTATCTCTGGCAGGTGGGATTAAGGTTTTTATTTTCCGTTTTTATACCTTTCACACATTCTAAAATAAACATGTACATTTTTAAAGAAAAATATAATTGAAGTTAAAAATACTCAACTCCTGTTTTATGGCTTTACTGAAGTATAATTTAAATACCTTGACATTCATCCATTTAAAGTGTACAGTTATATGAGTTTTAGAAAATTTATACAGTCATGTAACCATCACCACAGTTAAAATTTAGAATACTTTCAACATCCCCAGAAAGTTCCCTCATGCCCTATTGTAGCTCATTCCTGCTCCCACCCCAGCTCTTCAATCTGTTTTCTTTTGCTGCATAATTTTGGTTTTATTAGAGTTTTTATATGAACGAAAATGTATAGCGTATATTATTTTATATCTGTCTCCTTTCACTTAGCATGATGTTTTTGAGATTAATTCATGTTGTTACACATATCAGTAGTTCAGCCCTTTTATTACTAAGTAGCGTTCTGTTGTACAGAAACACAATATTTTGTTTATGCTTTCAACAGCTGGTGGACATTGGGTTGTTTCCAGACTTAGGCTATTATGAATAATGATGCTATGAACATTTGAATACAAATATTTGTGTGGATATATATATTTATTTCCCTTGGGTAGACATCTAGGAATGGAATTGCTGAGTCATATGGGAAGCGTAAGTTTAATTTTTTTAAGAAACTGCCAACCTGTTTCCAACATGGCCATACAATTTTGCATTCTCATCAGCAGTGTAAGAGAGTTCCTATTTCCCTACATTCTTGCCAATACTTGGTATTGGTGGTCTTTTTAATTTTAGTCATTTTGGTAGGCAAAAATCACCTAGCACTTGGATAGTTCCCTCACAGGCACTTAGAGGGCAGCATGGTTATAGTGCTGTTCACATGGTAGTTGAAAGCTGGGATCTTGAGTTTCCATGCCTGCAGGCCTCCAGCATCCTAGTCAAACATAAGGGAAGTCTTTACCAGCAACCAAAGGTTCAACTCTTTGTTATTATACAGTTAGGCCAAGGAAGTTTCTTACAGTAACACAACATATGCAACTCAACCCACATATAAATAAACCGCCCAGACTTTTGTGTTTCTTAAAAATGTGTGTGTTGAAGTGTTGTGGGGCAGGGGCAATGGTGATAGAACTATGTTGTGAACTTTTCTCTTTTGCATGAAAGCTCATTAAAGAACAGGTATGCCACTGAATGCTTCTTTTCTTTCTTTCTTTTTTAGTTTGGCAAGACAAAGTATGGGCTGAATATATAATTTGAACATATAATTATTTCTTGATAACTACAAAGCAAGTGCTGGAGGACTTCCAGAATCCTTTGGTATTGGATGTACCTAGACAAATGGTATACTCATGTGTAACACAGGTAAAGAAGAAAAACCAATCCCAAGAGAAACTCTGTAGCGTAAGGCTTCTGTTCAGTGTGTGGCGAGTGGTACTGTGCTGCTAAGGACACTGTGCTAGAATGAACATTGTCTGGGTTCCAATTGAGGTCTTTCACGCATCAGCTGTGTGGCCTCAGATGAGCCATTTCATATCTCCGGCATCCTCCTCTATGAAATGGGTGTAATAATATCTGACCTACCTACTGCGTGGCAATCTTGGATCTAAACAGCCTTGGATCTGTAGAACCATTTTTATAGAGCACTTTGCCTTATTTGTACACAGTACATTTGTACTTCTCATTTCATCTTTTATCTGATGCAATCACCGAATAACCCAGTGAGGTAGGAAAGCGCAGTTATTATCTTCATGGTACAGATGACTAAACTGTGAGCTCTGTAACAGCGTGTTCTGTCCTAGCCCCAATCCCTAGAATGGTGCCTGGCCACTAACGTTGCTGTTGACCAGTGTAGCCCAATAGGAATCACAGAGGCCAGTAATAAAAGGGATTAGGGCATTGGTTTTGGATCCAGACTACCTGGGTTCAAACTTCAGCTCCTCCATCTACTCGCTGTTTTACTCTGATCTAGGTACTCTACCTTTCTATTCCTCAGTTTCCCTAAATGCCTAACAGAACCAGCCTCATAGGATTGATAGGAGGATTGAATGAGTTAACACACATAGTAAAAAGCACTTAAAGCAGGGGCTAGCAAACATTTTATTAAAAAGCCAGTTAATACATATTTTGAACCAACTTTACAGAACCATTTTTATAGAGCACTTTGCCTTATTTGTACACAGTACATTTGTACTTCTCATTTCATCTTTTATCTGATGCAATCACCAAATAACCCAGTGAGGTAGGAAAGCGCAGTTATTATCTTCATGGTACTGATGACTAAACTGTGGCTCAGAGACTTTGGAATGACAAAAAAAAAGACTTCCAGTTCCCTGGCCGACAGAATATTCTTTTGTGCCATAGTTCTTTTTTTTCTTTTTTCAACTCCTGCCCCACCATACTATGGTTCTTATATGTTATGTTACATGTTGTACTATAATTCTTATTGTTGTATTTAGAATTGGGCCACGCCTTTTTTTATGTATTGTCTACACCTGCTTTTGTGCAACAAGGGTAGGGTTGAGTCATAGCAACAGAGACCACATGGCGTGCAACACCCAAAATATGTACTAACTGGCTCTTTAAGAGAATGTTTGCTAGCCCCTGCGTTAAGTGCTTTTTACTATGTGTGTTAACTCATTCAATCCTCCTATTGATCCTGTGAGGCTGGTTCTGTTAGGCATTTAGGGAAACTGAGGAATAGAAAGGTAGAGTACCTAGAACAGAGTAAAACAGCGAGTAGATGGAGGAGCTGAAGTTTGAACCCAGGTAGTCTGGATCCAAACCCAATGCCCTTGATCCCTTTTATGACTGGCCTCTGTGATTCCTATTGGGCTACATTTCATTTGGCCAACGTTCACTGAGCAACATTAGTGGCCAAGCACCATTCTAGGGATTGGGGCTAATATAGAACAGGCTGTTATGGAGCTCACATTCCAGTGGCGGGAATAAAACTATTATCAAGTAACCAAATAAATGAGCAGGATTGTTTCAGAGAACGATGAAGGCTGTGGGGGAAAATAATAGGTTCGAATTATCAGAGCCAGAGAACTAGGTGGAAAAGGGGAGCAGGAAAGAAATTGCAAGAAACCGCTGTGTTCGTTGAACATATTTAAACTCTGATCCTCCCAAGGGAAGACATTATTCTTCTTATTGCTTATTTTTCGTTGTCTTCCTAGCCTCTGCCACCGAGTGCGCACTCAAAAATCACGTGAGTACATATGATTGACACTTCCTGTCACCTGCCTTCCTGCAGGCCTTTTCCTGCCCCTTCATTCACCTTTGTGTTTGAATGTTCACATGGCTTGTTCTTCTACACCAGATTATGAGCATCTAAAAGTCACGATCTCTGACTCTAAGTCCCATAGACTTAGTCCAGTGTCCTGCACAGAGAGGGACCTCAAGAATAATTTCTAAATAACATTTTAGAATCAGCTCTTTGCCTGAGTCTTTCAAAAATTGCCATGTATGGGTTGAAATTTTAGTTAAAACTGCATGTGGTCCATAGTTTTATCTCCCTTATCTGAGGTAATAAGGAGGGAACCACAGTTATTTGCAGTAACAGATCCTACCCCAGGTCCCTGTGCTTCTCTGTGAGTGACCAGTGGTACCTCCACACTGCTGCTCTGTTGATCTAGCCCAAACTCCTGGTGAATCCAGCCTGCCTTTGGGCTTTGGGATCCAATCTTGGGATATAAAAGGTAAGCAGGAGGGAATGACCCAAGTCCGCATAGGTAATACACAAATAGGGTGAGGCACTAGTGGCTGATGAAGGGAATTACATATTGATAATGTAAACTTACATGAAGCGCAGCTTTCCAGGATTAGGTAGAAATTCCATCTGTGTGCCAAACTAGCCCTTTACAAACAGAAGCAAACCCAGAGTCCTTGTGATGCAGGATAGAAAAAATGATCAAATGTCTGACAAGAACCTAACATGGGCATTTCTAGCCCTGGCTTCTGCCTTGAACTTGTATGACCTTTGCAATTGTCCTAAGCAGGCAGACTTCATGACACTTGTCCCCTGCAGCAACTGTCAAGTCAGCCCCACCTGGTGTCACTAAGCTGGAAGCCGGATCTGTCCAGCACTGCCAGCTGTCACCCACATTTGCCTTTACGGCTTTCCTTTGCTCCCATCTCTTGTGTTTCCTCCTCTTGCTTATCCTCTTTTCCCCTCTTCTTTACTTCTGTGACTACTAATTTTCATGCTTTTGAAAAGGTCTTGTTGCCTGTGAGGTTTTTGTTCTAGATATAAAATTTTTTTCTAGGAAGGCTGGAAACAAATCCTAAGGACTTAAAAACAAAGGTATTTGTATGCATATTCCTTTTTCTCGGGCTGCCATAACACATGACCACACATCGCGTGGCTTCAAACAACAGAAATTTATTCCCTTGAAGTTCCAGTGGCTAGAAGTCTGAAATCAAAGTCTCAGCAGGCTTGTTCCCTTCCTTGCCTCTTCCAGCTTCTTGGGGTTGCCAGTCATCCTTGGCTCCTAGCTGATCACTCTAGTCTCCGCCTGCATTGCCACGTGGCCTTCTTCCCTGTTTGTGTCTGTATTGCTGTGTTCAAATCTCCCTCTTCTTTTTCTTATAAAAACACCAATCATTGGAATTGGAGCTACCCTAGTTCAGAATGACCTCATCCTAACTTTATTATATCTGCTAAGTCCCTATTTCCAAATAAGATCAGGGTTCAGGGTGTGGACATATATTTTGGGGGAGATACACTAAACCTACTGCAATATGCTTTAGTTTTATTTAGCAATGTAAAGTCACATCTGGTCAACATCATGCTAACATATGGGGCTGTACTTTAAAAACTCACCTTCCGACAAAGAAGGAAACGAATTTGGTGAGAAGGGAGGAGCCTAAAAGGTGAACATAAAGTGATGAAAATTGGTCTTAGGATGCCTTCCTGACAATTGCAGATAAATAGAATGGGCTTATCCCATATTTTCTCTTCTGCACGTTTTTGAATGTAAGATAGAACCCTAGCTCTCCAGAATTGGGGAGTTTCCTCCAGCAGTTTGCCCATTGCCATCTTTTACTCACTGAGCACCTACAATGTGGTAGTCCCTATGTAGGGACTTTTACCCCTAAAAAGTGAGAGCCTCTTACCCCTAATTTGAGGCTCAAAACGTTTAAGTAATAACCTGCCTGCAAAAACACTGTTGACAAGTGGCATGGCTGAGAACTAAACTCAGTGTTATCAACCTCTTTAACCCACTCTTTTTGGTTCAAATATGAACACTTGTATTGATTGCACTGTCATTAAGCACCAAGTGTTAGCCCTTAGTGATAAAGCAGGGAAACCTGACGGTCATGGCTCCAAGTTCACATTGTAGAAGTGGAAGTCTGGAAGATGTACAGGAATCAATGACATGAAAAGTCAGGAGAGGAGCATCCCATGACTTCACCTCACTGAGCTAAACCGTCTCAAATGCTGCCATTTTTAGCATGTGCAATATCTATTTTGTCATTTATTTGCACATTTAGCATGTAAAATTTCTATTTTTCTCATTTTGAACACCTTAAGGATCAATGAGAGAGGTTATCCCTAGAGGACAAGGACTTTGTCATCTAAGATGGCTTAGGATGCACACTTACCCACATGCCAAGGACTCGGGAGCGACTACTCTGTTGCTAGCCTTTCATTACTTGCTAAGTTCCTAAGACTGCAAAGCAGAGGTAGGAAACACCAGGCTTAGTTTAAGGGCTGTCCAAGGGACACGCTGAGTGCACTTAAAGTTCAAAGTGTTCAGATTGGGCTTTGAAAGTAGCAACTTGGTTCTTCCACAAGGGTTAACATTTATATCCCACACAGATAAGTTGGTAGTTTTATTCATTTTAGTACCAAGATACTTCCAAAGGAGAGAAAGAAGTAGTTAAAAAATAGCTTGGGCTGGCAAATATGCTGCACATTGCTGAGAATGTTGTGATCTTTACTTGGGTGGTGATCTCATACTTCTAGGTTGGTGTTTCCAATCTGAAAAAGCTTTTTTCTTCTTTTTTTAATAGAGACTGGGTTGCCCAGGCTGGAGTGCAGTGAAATGATCACAGTACGTTGCAGTCTTAGCCTCTCGGGCCCAAGTTGTTCTTCTTCCTTAACCTCCAGAATAGCTGGGACTACAGGAGTGCACAACCACACCCAGCTAACTTTTTAATTTTTGTAGAGATGGGATCATGCTCTGTTACCCAGGATGGTCTTGAACTCCTAGACTCAGCAATCCTTCTGCCTCAGTCTTCCAAAGTGCTGAGATTACAGGTGTGAGGCGCTGCGCCTGGCCCTATCTCAAAAACTTCTAATAGCCTTCCAGGGAGTGAAGAACACATCCAAACATCCCGAGCCTGGCCTTCAACAACCTCTGCAGTCTGGCCCCTACATTCTCGTCCAGCTCAGTTTTCTACTACATCCCCCACCACCCACTAAGCCTGTACATAAGTCGTCACTGTCAGTCCAGACACTACTGGCTGCGGCCATTGTGGTCCAGCTTCTGACCCTTGCTCAGCCTCTGCCTTCTCCCTGTATAGAAGATTGTAAAAATGCATGCAATTATTCTCACTGTATCCACAATCCTTTGGAATGTGATTTCATAAAGAACCCCTTGACTCTGGGGTGGTCTCGTGGCTTGCTCTGGCCAGCAGCATGGAGCAGAAGTGATGCAGTGCCAGTTCCGAGCATAAATGTTCAGAAGCCTTGCTTACTTCTGTTCACTCACTTGGAACTCCGCTGTCACCCCAGGGACAAGCCGGGCTAACCTAGTGGGATGATAAGACCCATGTGGCGCAGTCAACCTGTCCCTCGACGGGATAGCCATCCAGCCAGTGATGGACCTGCCAGAGGACTGCAGATGCTTGAGTGAGTGATGTCTGCTGATGCTGAGACCAGCCAAGCCTCGCCCAGAGTAGCAGGGCTCTCTCTCTTATCTGTAGACAGGCAAACAAAAATACATGGCTGTTATTTTAAGTCACTTAGTGGTGGGATGGGTTCATATGAAACGCTCAAAACGTTTAAGTAATAACCTGCCTGCAAAAACACTGTTGACAAGTGGCATGGCTGAGAACTAAACTCAGTGTTATCAACCTCTTTAACCCACTCTTTTTGGTTCAAATATGAACACTTGTATTGATTGCACTGTCATTAAGCACCAAGTGTTAGCCCTTAGTGATAAAGCAGGGAAACCTGACGGTCATGGCTCCAAGTTCACATTGTAGAAGTGGAAGTCTGGAAGATGTACAGGAATCAATGACATGAAAAGTCAGGAGAGGAGCATCCCATGACTTCACCTCACTGAGCTAAACTGTCTCAAATGCTGCCATTTTTAGCATGTGCAATATCTATTTTGTCATTTATTTGCACATTTAGCATGTAAAATTTCTATTTTTCTCATTTTGAACACCTTAAGGATCAATGAGAGAGGTTATCCCTAGAGGACAAGGACTTTGTCATCTAAGATGGCTTTTTTAGCATGTGCACTCTGGAATTTCTTTCCCATTCATCTAACAAACATGACCTAAGAGTCTGCTACCTGACTCGATCTGTGGTAGGCATTGGGGGTTTAGCACCAACACAGACTATCTCCAAGGAGTTCCCATTTCCTTTTGTTGTGCCTTTGAAGTTCCCTCCTTTCAAGGCAGCCAAAGAGGGTCACATCCCACTTTCCAGATGTCATCTCAGATCTCCTCAATCAGAATTGATTTCTCCCTTTCTCAATCCAGATTAGTCTCTATATCATATCACTTCTCTGGATTCTTTCTCATCTAGACGGTTCCAAGACCTGCCTGATTGGTTTCTACATGTCTCATCTGTCCTTGAATGTATCCTTCTCAGCCTTACTACAGTCAGCTTTCGAAACGCAAATCATACAATGACCCTTGGAGTGAATCTCCTCACTGACTGTTATCAGCCCCATGAAAAAGTTCCATATCCACCTTCGTACTCTGACGCCAACACACTTCTCCTGTCTCAGCTTCCATCTTAGATTTACTGTCTGTTAATAGTTTATCATTTCCTGTTCTCTCTTCTAGGAATGTTCTCCCCACCCAAGGCTGACTGATATGCTTCTATTTACTTTCTTAAGCTCAGCCGTCACCTGTTCCAGGAAGTCTTCATTGAACTCTGCTGCTTCCCAGCCAGCCTTCTCATTTCGGTGATTGTAATACTGTCACTGTGCATTATTGTGATTTCTTATGTTTGCATGTCTGGAGACAACAGTTTCTAAATTCAAGGCCTAGGTATTAATTTTACCTATGCATCTAGCTAGCCCTTAGGCAAAACCTTTTCACTTGGGTGATACTCAAAAGTGTTTTTTAAATGAATGGACAAATGAATGAATTAAGGAATAAAGACTGCCTTTACAATTACCTACCAGGTACCCCGAAAGAGTAATTATTCATATCTATGCAGTCATGGATACTATCTTCTTACAATTAAATGTCCTGAGAGAAAATTTCACTTAGGAGATAGAGGAATAGAATCAAAGCATCTTGGAGAAGATGTGAAGAAATGCCAGTTGTAACAGAAGATTAATAGTCTGAAAGCCAAACATAATCTGGTATCCAATTTTTTTTTTTTTTTTTTTAGAGATGGAGTCTCTCTATATTGCCCAGGCTGGAGTGCAGTGGCTATTCACAGGCGAGATCCCACTACTTATCAGCACGGAAATTTTGACCTGCTCCGTTTCTGACTTGGACTGGTTCACCCCTCCTTAAGCAACCTGGTGGTCCCCCACTCTGGTAGGTCACCACATTGATGCCGAATTTAGTGTGGACACCCAATTGGCATAGTGCATTACAGCCCAGAACTCCTGGGTGCAAGAGATCCTCCCACCTCAGCCTCCCGAGTAGCTGGGACTATAGGCACGTGCCACCGTGCTCGACTCTGGCATCCAATTTTATGACCTGTATGACTTAGATCATGAGGTCCAGCCTAGATATTTTTTTTTTTTACAAAAAGGAATTCCAATCTTTTTGTTTAATGTTTCTAAAAATAGTAAAGAAGACCTGCTTTATCTAAGTAATATTTTCTATTTTATTTATTCATATTGTGATTCCTAAATGTTTCACACCACACATTTTCTGGAATCTATTTCCAACACCACACTCACCCAAACAAAACTACCCTCAGCCAGGAAAATGTTTATTCTTCTTTCTCAATGTTCTTCACTCCCTCCTTCCCAGCTACCCTATAGATCAGCTTAACCTTTTAAAATCATCCCTTACCGACCATTCTCCCACCAGTGTTTCACATTATCAAATCACAAAAGCCCAGTAGCCATGTGCCAGAAAAACATCTCACTTTCTTGGAAAGGAAGAGCTAGAGGGGAAAGTGCTGGCATTTCCTTAACAAGAGCACAGCGGATGACTTCAGGACCATTCATGCTTGTATTAACTTTAAAACACCCACCAGACTTAATGATTCTATCCCTACGTGGTATCGTCCGATCTGTCTTTCTAGTTCATGAGTTTTCACTAGTCTATGACAAAGTGAGAAAAATAAATGACTATGTTTATATTTAAAAATTATTGAAACAAAATTGTAAAAGTGTATTTTAGTCTGGTGTCTACTTTTGGGGGGTTTTCTTTAACAAAATCTTGGTGATACAACATAGCTTTTAAATCTTTTATTTGGCAAAATAGAAATTTGGCAAACATATGTAAGTTCATGGTTTAAAAAAAACTTTTTATTAAGCCTATATAATCCTAAAGTATGGGAACAATCAAGTCACTTTTGAGTTTTTTAGGGTGGGGGGAAAAGCCTTCAGTTAAGGAAGAAGAGAAAGAAGAGAAGAGGCGTCCTAAACTATAGTAAAATATTTCCAGTTTCCAGAACTTGTTTTCACTCTTTGCTGTGTGCAAGCCTGGAGTTCTCAACCCCTGTGGACTTTCAAAAGTACTCTATTAAGAGTTCTCAAGCTGTTTTCAGTATTTCAAAAATCTAAAGAAAACTACCACTTGCCAAAAATTAGTGTATATAGATTATACAGCATATTTCTCTGCTTTTGGCTAAAAAGATAAGAATTTAGGCCGGGTGCGGTGGCTCACGCCTGTAATCCCAGCACTTTGGGAGGCCAAGGCGGGTGGATCACGAGGTCAAGAGATCAAGACCACCCCGGTCAACATGGTGAAACCCCGTCTCTACTAAAAATACAAAAAATTAGCTGGGCACGGTGGCGCGTGCCTGTAATCCCAGCTACTCAGGAGGCTGAGGCAGAAGAATTGCCTGAACCCAGGAGGCGGAGGTTGAGGTGAGCAGAGATCGCACCATTGCACTCCAGCCTGGGTAAGGAGAGCGAAACTCCGTCTCAAAAAAAAAAAAGTTAAGAATTTAATATAGTAACAACAGTTATTGCATGCTAATTGGAAGCACTGATTAATCTCCAAAAAAAGTTAAGAATTTAATATAGTAACAAGAGTTATTGCATGCTAATGGAAGCACTGATTAATATCTATAGGTTTATTAAGAAAAAAATTAAAACGATTAAAAAGTGTTTGATTTGAAACTGTTTGTTTCTCAAGATGTTAAAATATAGAATTACCATGTGAACTGGAAGTTCCACTGCTAGGTATATACCTAAGATAATTGACAGCAGTCTCCCTGCTGGTCTAGTGGCTAGGATTCAGCCACGGCCCGGATAATTGACAGCATATGTCCACACAACATGTGTATATAAATATTCATAGCAGCATTATTCATAATAGTCCAAAAGTAGAAATAGCTCAATGTCTTTCCACTGGCGAGTGCATAAACAAAATGTGGTATATTCACATAATGGAATACTATTCTGTCAATTAAAAAAAAAGATAAAGTACTGATATAGGCCACAACAGGGACGAACCTTGAAAATATTATGCTAAGTGAATTCAGTCAGACAGAAAGTCTTTATTATATAATTCCATTTGTAGGCAGTATCCAGAATGGGCAGATCCAGAGAGGCAGAAAGCTGATGAATGGTTGCCAGGGACTGGGGAGAGAGAGGAATGGGGAGTGACTTCTAATGGGTTTTATTTTGGTGTGATAAAAACCTTATGGGGCCCAGTGTGGTGGCTCATACCTGTAATCCCAACACTTTGGGAGGCTTAGGAGGGTGGTTCATGAGGTCAGGGGATCGAGACCATCCTGGCTAACACTGTGAAACCCCGTCTCTACTAACAAATATAAAAAATTAGCTGGGTGTGGTGGCATATGCCTGTAGTCCCAGCCACTTGGGAGGCTGAGGCAGGAGAATTGCTTGAACCCAGGAGGTGGAGGTTGCAGTGAGCCGAGATTGCACCACTGCACTCCAGCCTAGGCAACAGAGCGAGATTCCATCTTAAAAAAAAAAAAAGAAAAAAAGTTATATAATTAGACAGCAATGACGATATTACTCTGTGGATATAATTTTAAAAATCACTGATTTAAACACTAAAAATAAAATATAAAAAAACTTCTAGAAGTGATAGTTGTTTTGGAGGTCATGGGTAATATTATTTTAAACATAGGTGCACAAGTGCACTAAAATCTCAGAATCTACTACTATAAACATGTGAACAAAAACCTCTTTTACCCCAAAAGCTATTAATAAAATAATAAAACATGGACCTATGAAAAAGGGGAAAAGTGAATCCTTGGAGAGACATCTGAGAAATATTGCCATACACAGCTTAAATCTGTGTTCAAAGACAGCCGTTCTGTATCCTGACTTCACTCACATCCATGCAAACAGGCGGCATTCACGTTACTTCTTACACTTCAAAAGATCCCTGCCCTTTTTTATGTAACAACCCTAGTACCCAAACAGGCCTCTCTGTGCCAACCATGAGGAGTTACGGAAAGAAAGGAGAAGGGAGTCAAGTCCTGCTTTGTCCTCATGTGCCACCTGGTCCTGAAAGCCGACTACTTATTCCCCAGAGGATTACAGAAACATCTCGGTGAGTTTCAGTTCTGG